AACAAAGTGAGCCCTCTCGCTGCCCAGCCCTGACCCTCCCATGGAGGAAGCTAGGTGGCCTGGGCTTCCCTGCTCTCCGTTGTGCGTGCTCTCGCCGTGTGTGCCTGGCTGTCAGCAGTGGCTGATGATGCAGCATCCAGGCAGGAGCATGGATGGGGGGCTCAGATGTGGCTTTAGGCCCCCAGCATGTGTAGCTGCCCTCAGGAGGGATGCTGTGCCTAAAGCGTGGACTGAGGTCCACGTTGCCGGGACGCGGGGGCCTGCGTGGACCTTGTCTTTGATGTCACTGTCGTTTGTGGCGGACGCCCCTGGAGCTTCTGAATGTGCTCTTCTGGGTGGGCCTGCCTGCCAGCCGTTGGGGTCTCCGCTGCCCTGGGGGAGAGGTGGGAAGTTGGAGCATGGGGTTGAGGAACAGGCCCTGTCTGATGCCCGAAGGGCCTCCATTTGCCTGTGCATCTCTTTGGCCGTCCTGGATCTGAGACTGTGTCCCCAGCATTAGACGTGGTCTCGTGGAGCCAGGTTTCCTCAGCAGCTGAGTGAAATTGAACTGGCACGACCTCGGTGGGCAGCAGACCAGCTGGACATGGAGCCTCTTGGCTGAGACTCTAGTTCTTTCTGAAGTGGAGCCCGAAGCCTGGCTTTGGCCCCCAGCCTGCATTCAGAGGCCCACAGGGCGATGGACTCATCCCAGGGGGTCACTGTGGCAGGGAGTCCAAACTCCTAACCCCCCCCCGCACCAAATCTGGGTGCTCTAGTGGAGGCTGAGAAGACACGGTTTCCAACAGGGTTTTGGAGCCAAGAGTCACTGTTTCAGACTTGGGGGCTGCTCACAGAGGCCCAGAGGCAGAAGGGCTTTGGGGGTTCAGAGAGTGGTGTGGAATTCACAGTCAGTGGGACGCACAGCCTGGGGTCTGGGCCTCATCCCACAGGTAGCCCTCGAAGGTTGGTGTCAGCGGGGTGCTTTGGAGGAGCAGGGGAAGGATAGCACAGAGGTTTCCCAGATGGGAGCAAGGACTTGAAACAGGCCCGCTTGAGAATTCCAGCAGCACCTGCCCCTGGCTGGCACTGGGCTGGGGACATTGGTGGGGGGGGGGTTAGGCCCGAGATGGTGTTCTCCCCGATCTCGGAAGGCCTCCCCTCCCCTCCCCTCCCCTCTCTCCCCTCCCTTTCCCATGCTGAACTAGCCAGTTCCTCTTTTTTCTCAAAACGAGTCTTGTTGCTGCTAAATGGTGAAAAACTGGCGGGGGTGGGGCAGGGCCCGTTTCCCTGGTGTAATTCCGCCAGCTGACCACCAGCTGCCAGTCTGGGTTGGAAGACAGGCTGAGTGGCCACCGGAGCCTAGGATGTGGCCGCAGCTGATGGGGTGGGAGCTGGGGCAGGTACCAGACTCACTGGTGTACAGGTCATTGGAGCCGGGCGAGCTTCGTGGCCGCACAGCAGCCTTGCTCCCCACGCAGCCTGCATGCGCGGGGCCAGCGGAGCAGAGTCCTCTCCTTCAGAACACACGGACATCCTCTTCCGCCCCAGTCAGAGAACTTGGCTTGGCTTGTTTTCAAGTGGAAATGTAGTTGATTTATGATGCTATGCTAGTTTCAGGGGTGTAGCATGGTGACCTAGTTAATACACGTTATGTTCTTTTCCATGATAGTTTATTATAAGACACTGAATATAATTCTCTGTGTTATAGAGTAAATCCTTGTTTATCTTCTAGGTGTAGTGACATGTCCCTATATTCCTAACTGATCTCTTGCCCTACTTCCTTTCCCCATAAGTTTGTTTTCTGTGTCTGTGAGTCTGTTTCTGGTTTTGTATTACTTTTTAGTATCCATATATAGGTGATGATATAATATTTGTCTTTCTTTGTCTGACTTCACTTAGTGTATAATCTCTACATCCATCCATGTGCTGCAAATAGCATTATTTCATTCCCTGTTTCTGGCTGAGTACTATTTCATTGGTATCACCAACTCTGTGACCATGAATTTGAGCAAACTCTGAGAGATGGTGATGGACAGGGAAGCCTGGCGTGCTGCAGTCCATGGGGTCACAAAGGGTCAGACAGGACTCAGCGACTGAACACCAAGTCTTCCACTTGTTGGTCACATTGTTTGCACGTATTTTCTCCCAGCCCGTAGGTTCTTTTTGGTTTGTTTATGGTTTCCTTTGCTGTGCAGAAGCATTCAAGTTCAATTAGGTCCCATTTGATTATTTTTGCTTTTATTTCTCTTAGGGAAAGAGAACTCTGCTCCTAGGGTGCGTGTGAATAGACCGGACTCCTGGTGGCCCCACCCACACTCAACTGGGTTGTGTCAGGGCAAGAAAGCGAGGAGGAGTGAGTGAGGGCAGGTGGAGCTGGGGGTCTTGACATCTGACTGATTTCCTTTGCTGTTGTTAGTCCTCTCGCTCAATAACTGTCCTGCGTTCTTTTGTTCTCTGAAGATCGATAATTACCGAGACCTATTCAAGGGCAAGCACTGTGGCCAGGCTTGGCTCACCACATGGCTTAAACCAAACATTTAGACTATCCATGCCTGGTTCTCTCTCCAGGGACTGCCTCCCTGTCTGCTTACAGCCGGGACTTAAAGCTGAGGGAGACGGGATGTTTAGGGCTGTGTGATGGGGGTGCTGGGAGCAATGGAGAGATCAGAGTGGGTTCAGTTGCTTCCGGGGGCTCCGCCTGTGTGGATAAAGAAAATCGGTGCTGGGGAAGGTGACCAGCAGGGGCTGGACTCCATCTCTGGTCTCTCCCCACCCCGCCGCCCGCTCCGTGTCCCGTCAGAAGCTCCTAGCTGAGCACAGATGTGCCATCCGGGGTCCCAGCCCCAGATCGCAGAGCTGAGCCCAGAAGCAGAGGTTTGAGCGGAAGACAAGGTGTTAACAACAGGCACCTCCTTTCTCTGGGGCCCCCCGTTTCCCATCAGGAAGCCGGGCCCTGTGTCTTGGCTTTTGGCTGTACCTGCCCGACCCTGCACGAAGCTCTGACAGGGCCCCTACCGTGCCGACAAAGATGCTGCTGGTTTGTGAAATGGAGATGTCAGCCCAGCGCTTAGCGCAAGCATTTAAAAACAGAAAATAGCTCCTTCGCGTGTGTTGGCTCTGAAGGACTAATTATCTACGCTTCCAGAAGCAACGGAGCGGGGTATTCTGGCAGGACTTTCAGGATTTGTGTCATCGTTGCTTCAAATCTGTTTCTTTGGAGCTGATTAGAATTTAGGGATCTGAAATACCGTGAGCTCTAGGAGGCCCTGAAATCTGGCCAGAAAATTCACAAGTTGCCAGTTTTAACTTTCTAGGTTAAGAAGACTGTGGGATTTTTCCTTGATTTAAGTCCTCATAACACTGGCTTTTTAGAAAGACTTCATAAGTGTATAGCTCAATGAATTCACAAAAGGAGCATGTCTGGTAACCACAGCCCCCATGAAGAGCTGGGGTGTGGCCCACATCTGCATCTAGGGACCCCCCCAGTCCTGCCCCAACACCCGCAGCAGACAGACACTTTTGTGGCCAGAGAGCTTTGCTTATTTGGGGACATTGAGGTGACCCCCGAAAGTTGTTGGTGTTCAGATGAAGGCAAGGGGGGAGGGTTTGGTAAGTTCCTGGTGGACAGGAAGGTGGGGACAGCCAGGGACTGTCTCTCCACTGGACCAGTTATGGCAAAGGGCCTTTGTTCTCATCTTCAGCAGAGGGAGTGTGGTCAGGGGCCACGTCTAATGGGGGTCCCGGCAGTGGGTCCCTGAGGCTCACTCCCCTGACCTTAGCCTCATCTTCCCGCCCCCCTGGTCGGCGGTGGCACCTCCTCCCCCATCAGCAGTGGGTATCAGGGACAAGCCCCTGACTCCCGGGGCCCCTCACACTGCCCGCCACGCTGCCCACCCCACAGGGCGCTGTCTTCTCGCTCCCCCCGGCGTGGCTTCTTTGCTGGGGTTGCTGGTGGAAGTGAACCTCCCAGCTGAGACCTGGCTGGGCATAGGGAGGGGCCTGGGGACCGGGGCTGGGGTGCAGAGTGAGGGGCTTGTGGGAGTGTCATGAGTGGTGTGTCTGGTGAACAAGTGACCCCCTCATCAGACCCTGCTCTGTGCTGCCAGCCCCAGAGCACAGGGTCTCGACCCCCTGTAGAAGCGGGGTAGGGAGAGACGGGACACAGAGGTGGGTCAGGCGAGTCCAGGAGAGGAGGAGGTTGCACAAGGTCTTGACCTCCTGTGTGTGGGATGGGTATAGAGGGGTGTCAGACAAGTCTGAGAGAGGAGCAGGGAGCATGGGATCCCGACCTCCTATAGAAGGTGGGGAGCATAGAGGGGGGGTCAGGCGAGTCCAGGAGAGGAGGAGGGACCTTCCGGGCACACAGGTGGCCCCTGCGGCCTCATGCGGGCAGGTGCTAGGCACCAGGGCCTACCCGCCCCTCCCTTACCCGCTGTGCCCCCAGGGCTCTGGAGAGGCTGGCGACGCAGATGGGCGTCCAAGCCCCAGCAGTGGCCGGATGACCTGAGCTGGGGCCAGTGAGGCTGGCCCAGTGGGGTGGGGTCCCTGTTGTCTGGGAGCGGGTCTGTGGCTGCAGTTGTCTCTGGATCTTGGGCCCCAGCCGGGAGCCTTTCTCCCCAGCTGGCCTGCGAGAATGCAGGGGCTCCAATCTAGGCTCCTGGGGAGGGAGTGGGAGCCCTCAGCCTTGTCCTCCCATCCGGGTGGGGGCCTGACTGCCCTCTTTGTGTCTAAACAGATGGATCCCATGCTGGTCTCTGAGCACCTTGATTTGGTGGCAGTTCCAGCAGGTGGGCCACGGCCTCTGAGCCTCGGCCTTTCGGGCTGGCTGCTCCCCACACTCCCTGTCACCTCCCTGCTCATCCCTGCAGTTGTGGGTGCTGAAGCTGCCCTGGGGAGACCCTCCTCCTGTTCTTTAGGTCGGAGACCCTCCTGCCTGCCCCAGGCCGTGTCAGGCACCTGCTGTGTGCCAGTGCATGCCCGCCAGCTCTCTTATGCCCCCTCCTTCTCTGTCCATCTTGCAGGTTTTGGGGTTTGAGGTGGATGCGGTCAATTCTGTCCAGTTTTCAAACCACACAGGTAAGGTGTTGGTCTCAGCCATCTTGGCAGAGCCAGGTGTGGGCATGGGAAGTGGTCCCTTAGATTCGGGGGGCCGCCCCCCTCATCTTATAGGAAATAGAACATGTTGGGGGTGAGTTTGCCAGCTACACGTTTAAATGAGCTCAGCTGCTTTGGTGGTTGGATGACTCAGGTGGGTGACGTGTCATCTGGTCCCCTGTTTCCTCCTTGAGCTGAGGTTGGTGATCCAGGTACCGGCTCCGGGCGCCCCCCACTCCCCGGGTGACACCGTGGGCTGGAGCACTGCCGCAAGCTCAGCTTCTCTGAACATTGGTGCCAAATCAAATCTCAGAGATGGTTCTGAGTGAAGTAGAAAAAGGAGAGCTTTATTGCTTTGCCGGGCAAAGGGGGACACAGTGGGCTCATGCCCTCAAAAGCAAGTGTCCCAACTTGGGGAAGACAGCGACAAGTTTTATAGTAAAAGAGTGAGCGATCAGCTCGGCATTCTTCTGAGGGGTGGTTGGTGAGGTAAGTAGGAGTCAGCATCATCAACCTTCAGGTCCAGCCAGCCTGGGGTCTGCATGCTTGTGGGCAGCATGCCACAGTTAATCGTTAACTTTTTCCACCTGGAGTGGCTTTCGGTATCTGCAGAAAAGCTCAGAGACATTGTTGCGTGTACCCGGCGATGGAGAAACAGGACCGTGCCCAAGGCTGCTCTGGACTGTTTGTTTCTGCCTGGTCTCACATCCCCTCGCTTCCCTAATGTGAACAACTGCTTGAATCTGCCCATTGGAACTCGGAAGGTCACGGAGGCTGAGTGAAGGCTGTTGTGTACGGGGACCCAAGGACCAGCCCGTGGGATTGCTGGCTTGGGTTCGTGAGGTCTCGGCCCTTGGAAAGCCCCTGAGACGTCAGGCGAGGGCCCTGTAGCCTCGGAGCCGCCCTGCCCTGAGCTAATGGCGGCAGGGGGACAAAGCCTCTCCGTTCTTGGAAATGTCGCCACGTCCTTTCTTTGAAGTTACTATGAACCCAGATGGAATCACGGAGCACAGAACGTCCCAGAAGCTCTGGCAGGTGGCCCAACATCAGATATGTGGAAAGGTGCCTGGTTCTTGGCAGGAGTGGGTAACAGACATCAATGGAGGAGGAACTACGCCGGGTTCAGATGGAGAACATACCACGCTCAGTAAAAAGCCTTTCCTGCCATTGCTTCCCCCATTGTACTGGGCACAGTGATATTTGGATGCTTCCCCAGAAGTTGTCAGTCCAGTGAACCTCCCCAGAGCTTATAGGTTTTCTGCCCTCTTTTTTGCTTTTTTCTTTTTGTTTTTAAAGTAAAAGAGCCAGTTTGGCTTAGACTTTAAGCCTCCCCTCCAGGGCAGCCCCTGCCTGCGGCCAGCATTCTCTGGTTGCTCCTTCGGCAGGGGTTTCCTGTTACATGCTATGCTAGCCCTTGGGCAGCGGCTGGAAGAAACTGGATGGGGCTGAAGGTTGGTGGGTGAGGCAGGCTGGCCGTCCAGCACGTACAGATCAGTGTGATTGTGATCTGCTGCTGGCCCGGTGGTGACCCCCCTGGGGGGCAGGATCAGGTACTCAGGGAGGAACTGGCTCCCTCGGGGTCAGCCTCTGCAGTTTCTTTCATTTGTAAATTGTAACTTGAGTGGGATGGATGGAGGACCCCAGTGCCCGTCTTTCAGAAGGGTCTCCTGAATTAGGAGAGGAGGGACGGGGGCTGTGGGGGGGGGAGGGCTGCTGGGATGCGCTCTGAATGTTGTGAGCCTGAACCTTCTCGTCCTGTTAGGAAGCTGGCCTCCCGGGTGGGAGTGGGGGTTGTGTGAGACCCCGCAGGGGCTGGCTTGGGTGTCGTGGACTGCACTGTGTCCCCTCGATTCACCTGTCCAGGCCTGACTCCTAGAACCTCAGATGTGACTGTTTAGAGATGAGGCCTTTAAAGAGGTAGTTAAAGGTAAGTGGGATCACTGGGGTGGCCCTGCTCCCATCTGACTGGTGTCCTTAGAGAAGATCAGGACACAGACATACAGGGATGACCACGTGAGGATGCAGGAGGAGCCGGCCCTGCGACACTTCCATCCTGGACTCTGGCCTTGAGGACCACAGGGGCCTATGGTTCTCGATCACAGCAGTCCTCGGACAAGAACACAGTACACGTGCGATGGAGTCAAGCCCCACGATGTCAGGAATTCCCTGGTAGTCCATTGGTTAGGATTTGGTGCTTTCACCACCAAGGGTCCAGGTTCAGTCCCTGGTTTGGGAACTGAAATCCACAAGCCCTGCACAACCTGCACAACAAGAACCACAACAAACAACCTGCCCTGTCTGGAAGGATGTTTGGAAAGCCACGGGTCGGGAGTGACTGTGGTTCCTCCCACCTGGGCCATGGAATTTTGTGGCAGCAACACCTATGGGGATCCAGCCAGGGCTGCCGGCTCTTAGCAGACACCAGAACCTGTTGGAACAGCCTGGTGAGGGATGGGTCACCTTGCCTCGGGACCCTCCCTGCTCCTGCTCCTCCTGACGCGTGAACAGGGGCCCACCAGAGGCCATGCTTTCCTGGAGAACAGCTGGTGGGTCATCGGGCTTTGGCCCCATGTGCTTTTTCAGAGGCTGCTCTGCGGCGGCCAAGCCCTCACCCCACATGCACGTGGTGGGCCCGGCAGGCCCTTCGCCAGGCCCATGGCCGGTCCTGTTCTTGTGGTCTGCCTCTTGTGGTCAGTACTCAACTCTGTTGTTGCAGAAATCAGGCCTCCCGAGGCTCTACCTTGTATCTTTAGAAACCCATCCATTCAAGGGGTACCTCCTGGCATTAGGGCCGCCAGGGACAAACTTGCCGTGGGTGGACTTCAGGGTGTCCCCGGTGGGTGACCAGGTGAGGGCCCACTGCCTGCCCGGGTAGGGGCTTCACCTGGGTGCCTGTCGGGCCGAGAAGCCAGGCTGCAGCCTCTTTCCAGTTCATGTCTGGCTCTCGGTCAGGATTTGGCCTGAGACTTGGAGGTTGCAGCTCACCTTGGATGGGAGCAGGGATGCGAGAAGCTCCTACCTGCCGGGGTGCCCAGGTGACTGTTCAAGCCACTTGGCCTGGAGAGGACGCACGCAGCAGAGTCTGGCAAAGCTGGGGACTGTGACGTGTGGGGCCGCCTCCGGTTGCCCCACTGGAGGATGGGGAGAAATCACGCGGCCCTGCATCCCATCTGTCAGTGCAACACGGGCAGCACAGGTGTCCTTCGGGGCTGCCGAGTGGGCCTCACTGCACTGGGAGGGCAGGTGGGCCCCCTACTCAGTGATAACAACCCCAGGACATGCTTTGGGGGGGCCCCGCCGAGTCTCTGTGCCCTGGTGACCTCACGCAGCATCAGGGCCTCACGTGGTCTGCTCTGCCCCCCACCCCACCCCCACCAGGCTATTCACACTGGAAGGGCCAAGTGCTGAACTCCAGCGAGCTCCAGGAGCTGTACGATGGGCTGAAGCTGAATAGCGTGAATCAGTATGACTACGTGCTCACAGGTGAGCCCAGGGGCGTGGACGGGGAACCCGGCCTGCCTCCCGCCCAGCTGGGCTGTTGGGGAGACCCAGAGTACCCCAACCCGGCTGCTCCTTCTCCTGCCACCCATGAGGAGGGATGGTCATGCCTCCAGGAGGAGCTCAGTGGGGCCCTTGAGACCGCCACATCCGGGTAGTGACCTTGGGGATCCTGGCTGTGCTTCATCTCCACACCAGGGTCCCCGTGCCCGTGGCCGGGGACAGGTACAGTGTTGGGAAGGGGTCAGGGATGAAAACACTCCTGTGAGCGACGTTGGCATCTGCTGTGTAATCCCACGTGGTTGCATTTATTTATACACGTGGTGAGATGTGAATGTGCTTATCATGGAAAGTGGAGGGGAGGAAGGAAAATGCTGCTCGTTCACCCATGGCTGCTTCCTCTCCTGTAAGTTAGCGTTTCTCCCAGGAAATGGCCCGTGTCCCCTGGGTGCCTGCAGTTGGGACGCTTGTCTCGGTTGCCGATCTGGGCTCTGCCCGCCACTCTCCAGGCAGGTAGGTGTGATGGCGCTGTGTCTTTCTCTGCCATGGTCGGGTGACAAGAGTCTCTGTCCCTCCCTAAGGCTACACACGAGACAAGTCCTTCCTGGCCATGGTGGTGGACATCGTGCAGGAGCTGAAGCAGCAGAACCCCAGGCTCGTGTACGGTAGGTGCTGGGGTCCTCTTCCTTCTGGGTACCCCCATTCCACGTTCTGCCCCTCCCGGCACTTGGGCTCTGTACAGCTGGGCCTACAGGGATGAGAGCCTGAAAGGCGTCTTCACCGTGAATCTGGTGTCGGTCTGGGGCACATGAGAGAGGCTGTGATCAGCATCAGGTTGGGTGTGTGTGTGTGTGTGTGAGAGAGAGAGAGAGAGAGAGAGAGACCACCCGGTCCCTGGGGGGTTGGGATGAGAGACTCCCAGGTGGGGCCCCGACAGAAAATGTAAAATGCCAGGTAAGGAGGAAAATGAGGATGGGGGTGCTATGTTTTTCCCGTTTTATTTTTTAAAATATGTATGTGTTTTTGGCAGGGCTAGCTCATCATTGCGCCCAGGCTGTCTGTAGTTGCAGTAAACGGGGGCTGCTGTTGGTTGTGGTGCTCAGGCTTCTGACTGCAGTGGGCCTGTGTTGTGGAGCGCGGGCTGTAAGGCACTTGGGCGTCAGTAGCTGAGCCACGTGGGCTCCCGGGTTCTGGAGCACAGGCTCTGGAGCACAGGCTCTGGAGTTGTGGTGCAGAGGCTTGGTTGCTCCACAGCATGTGGGATCTTCCTGGACCAGGGATTGAACCCATGTCTCCTGCACTGGCAGGCAGATTCTTAACCACTGGACCTCCAGGGCAGTGCACTTTTCCTGTTTTAGCTGTGTGTGTGAGACTTAACCAAACAAGCCTGGGGGCTCCTCTGGACAGCCACAGGTTTGCTGATAAGGGGAACTTTGTGTCCACAGTGTGCGACCCCGTGATGGGAGACCAGCGCAACGGAGAAGGCGCCATGGTTAGTGCGTCCCCGCGCGTTCAAGGGAGGTCAGCGGGGCTGGGCACCAGCGCCCTCTAAGGGTCTGCCTGGGCGAGATGCTGCTCGCAGACCTGAAGGCTTCCCTGTCAGGAAGGAGCAGCGGGGCTGACAGGGGGGCTTCTGTGGAGGCCCGAGAGCAGGGGTTTCAGGGCCGTGTGTCCTTGTTGTAGCTCAAGCAGCCACAGATAATTCACAAAAGTATGAACATGGCTGTTTTCTAATCAGTGGACACTTGAGCTTAAATTTGCTCTAGTTTTCATGTGTCACAAAAGGTTGTTCAGTCGCTAAGTCGTGTCCAACTCTTTGCGACCCCATGGACTGCAGCATGCCAGGCTTCCCTGTCCGTCACCATCTCCCGGAGTTTGTGCAAACTCATGTCCATTGAGTCAGTAACGCTGTCTAATCATCTCACCCTCTGCCGCCCCCTTCTTTTGCCTTCAGTCACAAAGTACTGGTTTCCTTTTGACTCCCCCCTAACCCCTGCAACCATGTAAAACCATAGAAGTCACTCTTAGCCCACCAGTGATACACCAACTGGCCATGGGCCTGGGGCTCCGGCCCCTGACCAGGGGTAGAGTGGGTGGTGCCATCATGGAGCGGGGGTGGAGAGCTGCTGGTGGGGACCTGACCTGGATCATCAGGATGGAAGGGCTCTCCCAGCCCTGCCTTGGGGTCCCCACAGCATGAGCTCCCCCTAGGTCATCCTGCCCCCACCCCCATGGGTCAGCCTGCCTGCCTCCCCACAGGTCCCACCCCTACTTCCACGGGTCAGCCTGCCCCCCCCACTCCCATCCCCACCCCCATGGGTCAGCCTGCTCCATCTTCTCCCCACAGTACGTCCCCGATGACCTCCTCCCCGTTTACAGAGAGAAGGTGGTACCGGTCGCAGACATCATCACCCCCAACCAGTTCGAGGCTGAGTAAGTCACCTGAACCAGCCCGGGGCCATCAGGCCCCTACCCCTTGGGGAGAGTGACAGGGACAAGCTGGAGTGGCCCCAGTGTGCGGGGCAGGTCCTCCCGTGTCGGGGAGCCGCCGGCCCACCTGAGTACCAGGACGGGTGCCGGTCATCAGCAGCAGTGGTTAGCCTTCTCACCCCGCCTCCCTAAGGTCATGCTGACCCCCAGCCATGTTCCCAAACAGCAGGAGCCTCTTGGGGACAGGAAGGGACAGAGGTGCCCTGCGGAGCCGAGGGCACACCTGGCTGAAAACAGCCACGGGATGGAGAGCCCACAGCAGCTGATGCAGGCCGCCCCCTGGAGCTTTGAAGCCCATGTCCTAAATCTCTACATGAGGTTGAAAGGACTGTGCCGGCCCCTCTGCCCAGTGTCCAGGGGCCTTCCTTGGATGCCCAGCCTGGCCACCACCTGCTGTCTGGGGGAGCCAGGTGCCCAGGGAGTGACAAGTGGGCTCCTGGGACGTGGGGCATGGCTAAGCACTGCAGTGAGTGGGTTTCCATAGCGTCCGGCTCTGTTGGACCATCAGCCACAGCCCCTCGGGCTCTGAGACCACCCGTTACAGTAGAAATGGGGCTCCTGGATTCTTGGGGACTGGGGTTCCCTGACTTGGACCAATTGATCCTGAGGGACGGCGGCTCGCCCAGGTATCCCTGGTGGTTGGTGGCTCATGCGAATGTGGCAAACCACGGTTACAGCTGTTTGTGTGGACGTTGGCCGCCCTCATGGACACTATGCTGTGACCATGCCTGGCCGCCCTTCCTCATTGTTAACGTGCAAGCGTCAACCATAATCTGGGACTTCAACAACCCCTGTGACTTGTGAGTCCCTTTTAAAGCTGACTCAGTAATATGAGTCAAACCCCAGACATGGTATCCACCTGGTCCATGATGGCTGGCAGGTGCCAAGTCAGTTCCCAGTGGGCAGGAGGCGTCACCAGTGCGCCAGAGCCCTGGACTCTTACAGGTGGGCTCCGGGGAAGCAATGGCTCACCTGTGCATGCCTGTCTTCCAGGTTGCTGACTGGGAGAAAGATCCACAGCCAGGAAGACGCCTTAGAGGTAAGGAGACCTTCCTGAACCTGGCATGGGACAGATAGCCCTGCTTGTGGTGGGGTGGACAGCCACACGCTCTCAGGCATGAGCGATGGTGCCCTCATGGCCGGCATCTGGCTTCCCATCAGCCAGCCAGGAACATGTTATAAATGCTGTTTCAGCCATGTGGTTGATCATGGGCAGCCTAATGCCTGCTGGGTCTGGGTGCACCCACTGCTCATCACAGCTGTCCCCGTCGGAGGGTCCAGGGCAGCCATCCCAAAGTGCTGCAGACGGGGTGCCTTAGAACAACAGAAGTTTGCTCTCAGGGTCCCTGAGGCCAGAATGGTGGGCTGGCCGTGTTCTGTCCGGTCTGTAGGAGAACCCCTTCCCGCCTGTCCCCCACCCTCTGGAGGTGACTGGCAGCCCTCGGGGTTTCCAGGCTTGTGGGCATCACCCCAGTCTCTGCGTGTGTCTACAGCGTGTGTCCCATCCTTGTGCACATGTGAGAGTGGGGTGTATGCACACAGTGAGAGTGAAGATTGCTTGCCCAGAATGGACTTGTCCCTTGGGGGCTGGCTGGCTTTTTTGGAGTCCACAGTGGGGGAGTCTAGACAGGAAGGGTGGACTGGGCCTCCCTGCAGCCCTGGGTGAGATTTCTTCAGAGTTCTTTTCAACCTTCCCTCAGGACTTGCTCAGGGTCCATAGGTCTCCTGCCAGGATTCCGCCTTAGTTGGGGCTTACCCCTGGGCTGAGTGCGCAGAGCACCAGGGCCTCCAGGGCCTCACACCTTCAACGTCTGGGCCTCTTGAGAGGCTGTGCTCACTTCACGGCCCAGGAAACACGCTCTAAGGAGCCAGGGCCCTGGGTCAGAGCTGGTGGCGGCCAGTCTTCATCACACCTGGACCCTTGGGGCTGTGTCTGTTTCCCCGATAGGCAGAGGGCTCGCTGGGGCAGGAGAGCAGGGTGGGAGGAGTCCCTTCGCTGCTTTGAGGGTCTTGCTCTGAGTGGCCGGGGGTGTCAGGATGACCCCATCTCTAATGCACTGGCCCACCTTGGGAACTGGAGGAGGTTTCTGGTACCTGGCGCAGGGGTGCTGTGTTGACGGCATGCCCTCTTGTGGTGCTGTGATACTGTGCGTGCCTTCAGGGTGTGTATGTCTAGTGTGTGGGGAGGGTATGCATACATTTCGGGTGTGTGCATGTGTTGTGTGTCTGTGTGTATAGTGTGTGGATGCATGCAGATGGATGTGCATGGGTGTGCTCTGGGTGCACACGTGTGTGAGTGTGGCAGAGGACTCATCTCCCAGAGTCTGTGCTCGGCCGGGCCCCCACCCGCGGGATCATCTGTGCTGCTCTGAGGCATTGGCACGGGGAAGACAGGATGTCCATTCCTCATCAGGACACGACCCTCTGGCTGGCAGCCTCCCCTGCCACAGGCCCTGGGTCAGTAGTGGAGTCACTTCGTCCCACCTGGCATGAGCCCTGCCTGCTCCCCTCCATCCGCTCTGGCTTAGTGGCACTTTGCCGCACAGTGCCCCCCAGCGCATGTGCTGCTGGGGAGGGAGAGGGTATGTGTCTATTGAATGAATAAAAGATGAGTTCGAAGCTTCCCAGGATGGACGGGGTGGAATCTATTGTTGCCTGGGGGTTGCCGGGCGTGGCTCCTGCTGCCCCAGAGCCCAGGTGAGGGAAGACGGAGGACCATGGCCTGGCGGGTTGGCTCCCTCCTCCAGGGTTTGGGCACAGGTGGGGTGCAGGGTGGGAGCTAACAGGCGTGCACCCTTGGACTTGAAGCTTGGGGTTGGGGTGGGGAACTGGGACATGGCTGTAACCTGGCCAAGCTGGGTGGCGGGACGGTGGGGGGCATCGGGCGAGGCCAGGGTGTGGCTTGCACATCCTCAGCCTCTGTCTGTCTCCCATCCAGACTCTAAGAGTCTGAAGGGTATGGGGGCGGGGGCAGCTCCCTGGCAGTGGCTGAGGCGTGGCTAACGCGCTCCCTGTGTCCCACAGGTGATGGACATGCTGCACTCCATGGGCCCGGACACGGTGGTCATCACCAGTTCGGACCTGCTGTCCCCAAGGGGCAGTGACTACCTGATGGCGCTGGGGAGCCAGAGGACGCGTAGGTGGTCCCCCCCCCAGCGCTGCGCTCCCTCCTGCTGCGCATCCCTTGAGGCTTCTGGCGTTTGGGTTCAGTGCAAAGAAAATCCTGCCTGACTCGGCAGTGGCCAGCTTTCTCCTCCCAAGACCAGATTGGAAACAGAATCAGGAGAGGTTTCCGTGAATTGGGATCCAGTGAGCATGGGGTGCTGACCGCTCCCCCAGGGTCATCACGCAGTGCTCCGTGTCCTTTGCTGAGCTGGTAGCTCAGTATCGGATAGCGTCCCCTCTTACAGACTCCAGGGTCACGGGGACCAGCCAGCTGGAGCCCCGCTGCTGGGGAGCCAGGCGTCTCCCCACCCCCACCCCACCTGACCCCAGAGCTGGTCCTGGTGTTGACATCACTGGGAGTTCATTGCACGCTCTGCCATGTCAGTGTTTTAATTATGCGGCTGCCATAGCGTAAAATGACAGAAGGCTGGGGTCACCCCACTGGCCCAGAGAGCAGTCCCACATGCGTGGCTTTCTGTCTGTGCAAAAGGACACTTACACTCATAGACGCGCATGCACACACGCCTGCACACACACCCCCACCTCAGCCAGTTCATGTGGTCCCTACAACTCTAGATCCCCTGCAGCTCCTGCTGCAGCACGTAGCATGTCCTGGCCCCTCACCTTCAGGCTGCGCACTGTCCCCCACAGGCCACCCTCACTGTGTAGCCCTCTGGGCCTCCAGTCCCTCACTTTCTCACTTGGGATGGGCGGTCATTGAGAAGCATGGGGATCCAGGTGAGCTGAGCCCCCGACACTGTGCAGGGGAGGGCTGGCCAGTTCCCGGGCCACACAGGGGGTCTCTGCCGGCCAAGGATCTGGGGCCCCAGATGCTGGACTCTTTCCCCCCAGGGGCTCCCGACGGCTCCATGGTGACGCAGCGTATCCGCATGGAGATGCACAAGGTGGATGCAGTCTTCGTGGGCACCGGGGACCTCTTTGCTGCCATGCTTTTGGCGTGGACACACAAGCACCCCAACAACCTCAAGGTCAGTGGGGCACAAAGGGGACAGCACGTTAAGATGCTGAAGTTGGCCGGACTGACTCACGGGGGGTCCTGAGCCCAGTGAAATCTCAGGGCTTCGTGGGGACACGGGAGCTGCGGCCTCAGCAACTCAAGGTCTAGAAGCATCCCAGGGAGGGAAATCCAGGGACAGGGCATCCCAGAATGCAGTCCCTACGGTCAGACCTGCTGGAGGCACATCTCTTCCTGAATGTCCCCTGTCTGTCCCTCCCCCGACTTGCTGTGTGAATGTCTGCAGTGCCCCTGTGTGCTGGCCAGGCAAGCAATTGCAAAACTGGGTCAGTAACCTGGGGAATGGCGTTCTTGCTGTGTGCTGTGTGGTCAGGCAGAGGCGTCACAGCTGTGTCCTTTGACCTCCCTCTGCGCTGCCCTCCTTCACTGGGGGCACGTGTGCACCCTCCCTGGTGGTCAGCATGGCTAGGTACCCTGCTCCGTATTGTGATATGCAGGGTGGGACAGGGCCCTTCCCGTCACCAGCCAGGCTTGGGTGAACCTGCAGTGTTGGCTGTGACTCCAAGCCAACATTCTTCCGTTTCTCTTCCTCCTTCCTCCCTGGAGGGCAGAGGGTGAGCTCAGACCTGCTTCACGGCCTGCTGATGCCCAGATGGAGGCCTCGTGGGGCCGCCCTCTGCCGAGCCTGAGCTCAGCTCAGCCCAGATCCCACTGTCGGCGAGTGGGAGTCCGCTTGCCTACTCGGCACTGCTGAGCCCTGTCTTTAACTTTGAAAGGCCAGCGCGCAGTGACTCTGGCCAGCCTGGGGGCAGGAGCTCTTTCCTTTGTGTGTTCTTTATAACAGATTCATTCCCAAAATTCTTATTAAGCACCTACTACATGCCAGGCAGTCCTGACAGTTGCCTGTGGTCTGTTTAGTGCACAGTCCTCTCTGCTTGGCTCTCCTGGTGGGGGGATCATGGAGCCGGTGCCCTGTTGGTGGGCAGTGTCCATTCGGGCAGCATGGGGGTTGGGGGGCAGAGTGCCCCGTGTGGGCAGTGCTCAGCATCCTCCCCTCCCTGCAGGTAGCCTGTGAGAAGACTGTGTCAGCCATGCACCACGTTCTGCAGCGGACCATCAAGTGTGCGAAAGGTGGGCCTGGCAGGCAGGCGGGCGGGCAGAGGTGTGGAGCTGTGTCATGCAGGGCCGAGGCTCCCACTGTCTCCCTGGCCGGGGCCTTCAGGGCTGGGGAGGGGCAGCATGTCCATCCCTGCTGAGATGAACACTCGGATGAGCGTTGGGGACTCACCCCAAAGGCAAAGGGAAGGAAGAGAGAAATTCGGAATGACTCCCCCCCACCCCGCCCTGGCCCTGTCGTCAGTGCTCTGCTTGTCCTGCAGCCAAGTCTGGGGAAGGCGTGAAACCCAGCCCCGCCCAGCTGGAGCTGAGGATGGTGCAGAGCAAGAAGGACATCGAGAGCCCCGAGATCGTCGTCCAGGCCACGGTGCTGTGAGAGCCTCGCGAACCCGCCTCCGTCGCTCCCAGTGTTAGGTGTCTCCGTTTCCGACCTTGTGAAAAATGTAACGTCTGCCTTAGAGGTGTGACTGAAACTTGGTATTTTTTTCCTTTCATGAGTGTCCAGCATCCACTGGTCTTAATTGTGAAAATGTGCCAGTCGTGCTTTTTAAAAATAACAAAGTGATCACAGAGATGTGTAATTTGGGACCCCCAGCTCCCCTCCCCCAAGGTTCCTGGAAAACCAGCTCCGTGTTCAGGTCTCCGGGCCCCGGGCTGGCTTGGGGCACATGGCGCATCCCCTTCCTGAGCATGGGGCCCAGGGAGACCACGGTGTCCGCCTCTCGCAGCGAGTCAGGGGTTAGTGCTCATGTCCAGAAAAATGATGTACCTGCCTTTATCCTTGCTCTGAGCTCGCCTTCTGTGTTCCCCGTTCAGAATGTTTTGCCTCCTGCTTTGCTGCAGGGCAGCCCCTGGGGGTTTCAGGGTCTCCGCTTCTGTTCTTGGTATGAATGAGTTCCTGAAGCTCAGACGCACAAACGCTGCACAGTCACTTTGGCGGGGACCTTCCCAAGACCCCGGAAATCTGCATGTCTCTCGTGTTTCAGGCAGGGGGGCTGCCTTGTAACTCAGCGTCACTAGGCACCCCCACGGGACAGAGGCTGGAGTGTGGCCGAGGGCGCCTGTGGGTCTTCAGGCTCCTTATGGTTGAGCCAGTCGGTCCCATGCTGTGTATTTGCCACCCACTGCTGGTGACAAATGTGTCCAGAAGGCGGAGGTGGGCTCCTGCCCAGCCCCCTGCTGGTGTGTGCAACCCCAACCCCCAGTTATTTTGTCACCGTGCCCCCGATCCCCTGCTGCTCTGTGTCCCGTGCCCGCCAGGTGCCGGGAAGCAAGGTGCAGCTCCGCCCGCCCCCCACTGTGGGTGGGGCGCCAGTCCTGACACCAGTCCAGTCGTCCACTGCTCGGGTGACCTCCCCGGCTCCACTCCGCCCAGAATTTTGAGGACCCTCCCCCGGCACGGATGCAGGCAGGGTGTCCCCATGCTCAGAGCCCACCCCCGACTCTGGGGCCTGCGGGGTTTGCGTCTCTCAGAAACCCACAACCTGGAGGGAAGCAGGGAGACTACAGGATGTCCGGGCCCAGATGGGCATCCCTGGGGAAGCAGGCTCTCCTAGGGCAGCCATGGCCCCACAGGCAGGCCCCCTCCTGAGGCCAGGCCTGTGTCTCCAGGATGCTCACCACCTCAGGGCCGCCTTGTTCCCTGTGTTGAAGATGCCCCCAGATGAAGGCAGGCTGGTCTCCCCTGGGCACTGTGCACCCACTCTCGTCTTTCTCCCCCACTCCGCTCATGTTGTGAATGTTGTAACTCGGGCATTAGTTTCTGTGTACAGGGTCAGGGTTCTCAGCTCCCTGCAGTGGCCAGCAGGTCAGGGCACATGTCCCTGTCCTGTTTCCTGGTCCCTGCAGGGCCGGCTGGCCTAGGAGGCGCAGGAAGGCCTGGCGGGGGACAGCCCCCCAGTAGGGCGGCCAGGGACCCACCATAGTCCCACAGGGCTCCGGCCTTCACAGAGCCCTTCGTGGAAAAGACAGTCACTGCCAACTAGAGCTGGGAGATGGCCACACCGCCAGCCCATGGGAAATCTTTTTTTTTTTTCCTGTTTCCTGTTTTTAAAAAAAAAAAACAAACCTTAGGGAGAGCAAGTGTAAGATGACTTACACTTTTAAGCAAGAACCTTGATTATCTCAACAAGATGGTGAAAACCTGCCCTGAAAACATGGGGTTGGGGGTAGCAGCTTGTTTTATGTGCACTGTGAAGTTAAAGAAAAATGCACTTGGCAAACAGTGTGCTTTCTTAGTCCTGGCCCCCCACTGTGGATTTAACTCTTTAATTCTCAGTATCATACACAGAACAATCAGAACTGTTCCACCGGTAGAGCCGTGAGCTCTTCCGTCTCCTTGAACTATGAAGCCACAGCTGTGAGGAGAGGCCAGGGCCCAAGCCCCATGTGCTAGGAGAAGGAAACTGGGGCTCCTGGGAGTGTCTGGGGTGCTTGGGACCCAGAGAGAGACCCTTAGCTTCTGTGAGAACCACCTCCAACCTCCCCACCCAAGCAAAGTGCGCTCTTTGTCATGATGTTGCTGAACCTGTGTATCTCAGGCGCCTTCCCCTGGGGACCTAGTCCATCTGTCGTGAAGACAGTGGAGGCCCTGGCTGTCTCTTCAGAATTTCCCATCCAGAACTTATCCGTGCCTGGTAGCAGTGGGTTCTGATACAGTTTGGGTCCAAGTTAGAATTACCCTTTTTATTTTTTTTTTACTTTCTATAGTTGAGTAACATAGAAAATAGTAATTTAAGATGAGAGCTACATTGGCCCTGAATTGCTTACTTATCCCAAGGGTGTAGATTTCAAACCTCCCGGAGACCTTAGAGACAGATTACAAAAATGGTCCTTCTTCTTCAACCAACCTGAATCAGTGCCAAGTCCTGCAGAGGTAGCCAGGCTAGTCTGTGCTGTTTTTGTGAGAAGTGTCAGCGATGGTAGAAAACGATGCTCTGTTATCCTTAAATTTGTCAGATCCAGTCTTTAGAGTGTGTTTAATTTCACAGTGGCTGCGCCTGTCTTGGGGCTCCTGACCTCCTCATTGCTCAGACTTCCTGTTCACTCCTCAGTTGAGCGCTGAGCACCCGCCCTCTCGGGACCACCTGCCTGGGGCGGTGGGGGCCCCCGTCTGTGAATCACAGTGCCTGTGACCAGAGAACTGGGCTGTGCTCCTAGCCAGAATAGCCCACCCTGGCTGCCCGCCTGGTCTCAGGTCTCCCTCTGGGGCGGGGAGGGTCTGCTCAGAACCCCTCAGCACCTGCCTGGGCCAGAAGGAGGGGAGTGTGTTGAGGAGGAGAGAGGTATGTGCCCACAGCGCCGCTGCCGTGTGGTCCTGGATTTCTGAGTCTGGGTGGCAGCCACGCGGCTCCCAGACTCAGTTCTGAGATCCCAGGCCCACCCATTTCGGGTCCAGACCACCTCCCACTGCCCAGCTGCTGGGGGCTTCACTTCTCATCACCTCGAGTAGCCTCCCTGGAGAGCTGACTCCCATGTCTACTGAGGGAGGTGGCAGGTGGATGTACCAGGGGGCACTCAGAGGGACCCCTGGCCCTCGGGAAGGCGGGCCTTCTCCCTCTGGGAGCCCATGTCTGTGGCTCGAGGCCAGGAAGCCTTGAACTTAGGCCTGCTTGGTCAGGATGCTTGTGTTCCCCCAGAAGACCCCGCCCCCTCCTGCAATGTTCTCCAGGTCTGCCCATGAGAGCCAGTCAGGCTGGTCCCCACCAAGCAGGGATCGAGCACCTGCACACGTGTGGCCTTGCAGCCTTGTGCAGAGCTGGCATGCCTGGATCTGTGTCTGCTTCTGCAGTGGTGAGCGTCCTGAGCAGGAGCCCGCTTTTGCAGGCAGCTCTGTTGTTTTCAGAGGGCTTCCCAGGTGGCACTAGTGGTAAAAAGCCCGCCTGCCGGTGCAGGAGACGTAAGAGATGCAGGTTCAATCCTTGGGTTGGGAAGATCCCCTGGAGAAGGGCTTCGCAGCCCACCCCAGTGTCCTTGCCTGGAGAATCCCATGGAGAGAGGAGCCTGGTGGGTTACAGTCGGTGGGGTCACACAGAGTCACTACTAAAGCGACTTAGCACTGTGGTTTGAGTCCTGCCTTGCTTCCGCTCTCTGCCAGCAGAGGGTAGTGAGGGCACGGGTCCTCTCCCCACCCCCCATGGCGCGACAGAGCAGCCCGCCTCCTAGGGATGTTCCTTCAAGGGCTTTCCTGTCTGGTGATCGTAACCGGAATTGGGGTTTGCAGTCTGTTCGCTGCATGGGGAGGGGGGCCCTGAGTATGTCTGCCACGTGGCCCAGGGTCTCAGTTCCTAAAACCATGTGCTCTCCTTAGCTCCTGTCTTCCCCTGGACTCCTTGGTGCAAGACGTCTTGTTCTTAATGTGCAGAGACACCGATCAAGAAACGTTGTCTTACAAGCTACATTCCTGCCTTTCACTAGAGGTCTTTGCTCCCAACAGCGTGTGTTCGTTTGGTCATTTGGCAAGTCATTTTAGGTCTGGCTTAGAGAATATTTTAAAACTTTATATGAATGGAAACTTCTTTTAAGAATTTTCTTTTTAACTCCTGGCAGAGTAAACAGGTGTTTTTAAAGCTCTCCACTGTCAGAGCCAAGCAGAGCCCTGTGCTCAGGGAGGGGCCCCAAGCTCCAGGGTTGCAGGGAAGGACGCTCCCGGCCCCTCAGCAGCCCAATTTTCTGCAGCAGGAAACACTCTTGGGAGGACATGCCATGAGCCACTCAGCCTGGCCGGGGGCAGCGCTGTCCTGCCTGAGCTGCCCTCTGCCCGGCAGGATCAGGCAGACAGAGGGGGGCACACCACCCTAGGGCCCTTTGCTCGGGAGCCCCCCAGACAGGGGTCTTGGTCCTCGTGCACCCAAGGATACAGAGCTGGGTCAGCGGGGTCTGGACCACTGTTGCTTTCTCACCCAGCCCCCAGCTTCTGGCATGAGGAAGGTGAGTGTGGGTCATGACCAGGATGGAGGAGGGACAGACGAAGGGAATGGATGAGCCTGGCAGCAGTGCCCGCAGTGGGCCCCCAAAGAGTGAAGAGAGGATAGAGGCAATTTGTGCATTTCCGCAAAATACCTGGGACCATTGTCTTGGTGATGGGAGGCGTCAGTGTTGATGCTGGGGAGGGAGAAGTGAATTCTTACTTCGCTCCACGCAGCCCCGAAGGATAAGGGTGTGTAGGTGGCGTGTTGAATGTTTTTGGCTTCAAAGCCAAAATTCTACTTCTAGAATTTCACTCGGGGTTTCCCGCAACCGTTACAAACCTGGACCCGCAGGAGGACTGAGGCTCTGACTCAGGCCAGTTGGTGCCAACCCTGTCCTTCCAGAATCTGGGAGAAATGATACAGCCTCGGGACCAGAGGGGCTCCCTGCAGTTCTGGCGATGGTTTCACTAGCCCTGTGCTCTACATGCCAGCCCCACCTACTGTGCGCCTGTGGATGTGTTTTAAACATAAACCCCTTGCAGCGCTGTCGAGGCTGTGTCTGTCTGTTCTGGTCTTACTGACTTATGATTATCACAAATAAATATTTTCATGGTGATACTGTTGAAGTGTGGTTTCTTTTTCTCAGAGGAGCTTCGTTCCCGTGTGGCCTGACATCCTATCCATATAACCCTTTCTGTTTTCTGCCCAGGAAGTGGGGGCGGGGCCTGTTTGGATGCTCCAGGCAGTGGGCTCCAGGCCCCTGGGCTTCCCCTGGGTTGGGCTGGGGATCAGAGAGTGCAGATCCCTTTCCCCCCGCTCCTGCCCGATTGTGAGGAGCAGCTTTGGTCACTGACCAAGCCTCACGCTCCTTCCGGCTTCCTTCACGTCTTGTTGGTGACAGCACTGGTCTTGTGAGTGCAGCCGGTACCTGCTCTCCCTGCCATCTACTGACACCTTTGTAAATAAGTCCAAGGGTCATTTCCAGGCAGCACCAGTTTCCATAGGACAGGCAGGGAGAAGGCGGGCAAGGATGCAGGGTCCTGTCTGAAGCATCTCTGACTCCACTTCTCAAATCACCTTCTGCCAGCCCAGTGCAGCCCTCAAGGCTGGACACCGATCCTGTGGCTGCTGTAAGACATTCCCACCAACTGAGGGGCTTACAGCAACGCAGATTTATCCTTTCACAGTCTGGAGGTCAGATGTCTGGGTGGGCGGCTCTGGTTCCTTCTTGGGGATCCAGAGAGAATCTCTAACCTGCCTTTTCCATCTTTCTAGAGGCACCTGTGCCCCTTGGCTCATGGCTTCTCCTCCACCTTCAGAGCTATCAGCATAGCCTCTTCAGTCTCCCTCACACCCACCCTCCTGTCTCCCTCTCATGGAGACCCTGTGGTGATGCTGGGCCCACCTGGCTACTCCAAGACCAACTCCTCATTTTAAGACACATCTGCAAAGTCCCTTTTGCTGTGTAGGGTACATCCGTAGGATTCAGGCACTAGAACATGCATTGCAGGGAGCTTTCCCAGGGCTTCTGGGATCACAGCCACATAGTATCATCCTGTCTGAAATTCTGCCTAAATTACAGCATTGAATAAATTCCCCATGAGGTGCAGACTCTGGCTGGCCCCTGCAGCAGGGTCTTAGCCAGCACAAGGCTGGCCCCAGCCCCTTCTGTCTTGTTGCTCTGCTTTCCCCGGGGTGTGGCCCTTGTGTGTGACCTTGGAGTGGGGGGAGAAGAGACAAGGCACTTTCCCCTCCCTCCATCCATCCCTCTCCCCGCTTCCTTACTAAAGTTTCATGGAGATCAATTCACATTTCACAGTTTGCCCACTTTGAGTGTAGAATTCAGGGTCTTGTTATGAAGGTAGCAACCTTGAAAAGTATGTTTAAGTTTAGCTTTGACAGGTGTCTCCCCCAGGTCAATGGTGTCCTCCAAACACGGTCTTTGCAGATGTACTAGTTAAGGTGAGGTCACACTGCAGCAGGGTGGGGCTCAATCTGGTACCTGGTATCCTGACGAGATGCTGAGGGAAGCAGACACGTGAGGAGGCAGATGAGTAATGCAGACACCTAGGGCCTGGCAGCCCTGGAAACCAAGACTGTGGATTGCCTGGGAAGTTGATTGTTGTTGGATAGCATGGAGTGTTGATTGTTGTTAAGTCGCTCAGTCATGTCTGACTCTTTGCAACCTCATGGACTGTAGCCCACCAGGCTCCTCCGTCCATGGGATTCTGCAGGCAAGAACACTGGAGTGGGTTGTTGTTTCCTTTGCCAGGGCATCTTCCTGACCCAGGAACTGAATCTGCATCTCTCACGTATCCTGCATTGGCAGGCAGGTTCTTTACCACTGGGCCACCTGGGAAGCCCGGTGCATTGAAAGTAGGGTCCTCATAGGGGAGGAGAGGGCCCCGAAGCCTGAGATAGGGATGCTTGAAGGACGCACCTGAGGATCTTGAACCCAACCCCTAATTCTTCTGGATGCCCCATGCTGCAGCAGACCACCACCCTTGCCTTTGCTGAAACTCAGCTCCCTCATCTGGAGACCAAGCAACAGTCGCACCCCTGAGACATACTGACGCTTGTTCCTTTCAGATGGGCCTCCCCTGCCTCCTTTGCTCCAGGCCTGTCACCAGGCAGGTTTCAGCCAAGTGGAGAAGGAAGCACAGCCTGGGCTGCTAGGAAGGCCCTACATGCCCTGGGAGCACAGGACCAGCTCCTGGCTGCCAGCAGACATGGGCAGGTGGGTGGGAGTCTCGGGGTGGGAGACAGGGCTGGGTGCCATGCGTTAGCTACAACAGAAGAACATCTGCTGATGTGGGCCATCTGTGACTTCGGTTGTGGGTTGAATTGTGTCCCCAGAGTGTCTATCCTAACTGCTGCCCGCCCCCGCCCCAGCCCCCTGCCCTGGCTGTGAATGCAGCCTTATTTGGAAATAGGGTCTTTGCAGATACAGTTCAGTTAAATGAGGTCACCCTGGGCTGGGGGCCCTAAGACCTCAGAAAAGAAGTCCACGAGAAGACACAGTTGGGGACTGGAGAGCCATCTCTATAAGCCAAGGTCCCAGCTCTGCTAAGAGGCTCCCTGGAACACAGATTGGCCACTGGCCCAAAGCAAAGCAGTCAAGGCTGCAGCCCAGCCTCCCCGCCTCGCGGCCAGGTGTGTGGCTCCAACCTGACTGTGTCCTCCGGGGCCCCCAGGGCTAGCCCTGCCAGCTCTCAACCCCTCTGCCCTTCAGAATCCCCAGGGGACTTTAGTGGGGCAGGTCTCAGGCCTACCCCGACCCGCACAATCGGCCGAGTGCCCCCCTCCGCTCCCGCAGCACTCCAGTCCAGATGGAAGCTGTGCCTCTCCCTCCAGGAAGGTGGCCAGACTGCTCATCTCCCAAGCTCCACCCCCTTACATCTCTGGCTGCCCCCTCACCCCCCAGTCCAAACAAAGACCTTCTGGGGCAAACACTGCCCGGGACTGCTGAGCTGGCTGCTGGTGGGTCACCCAGCAGTGCCCTGGCCTGGGCCTGGTCTGGGCTCCTGGCCTGCTTCCCCTGATGGGAAGAGCCCATGCTTCCCATAATGGGAAAAGCCCATCATGCCCTCACCCCAGAGACCCTGCCAGGCATACCTCCTTGATGGCCAGGAGGCCACCATATCCACAGAGAGCTTTGTACCAGGTGAGGCTGTAATTCTCCCTCCTACTCTGAGTGTTCAGGGCCACATGCAGCCTGAGGGCCTGGGCAGGCCAGCCACCAGGCAGGCCTTCCCGTGTGTACTCCTTGATGGTTTATCCTTAAAGGCGGCAAAGGTGAGCATCCCCATGGGGAAGAGTGAGGAGAAGGAGCGCAGACGTGGTCAGGTTCCGCCAAAGGGACCCAGCAATTCCGCTCCTCCTCACCCGCCACGCCAGGTCAGGTACCAGGCTCCTGAGGAGCCGTGTCCTCCAGCTGGCCCTCAGGACCTCCCCCTGCCCCAGTGGACCTACATGCCAGTCCCTGTGGTCACACAGAGCTTCCTGGGAGAGGAGTTCTGGGAAAGCACGCCAGCTGCAGCAGACTCTGGCCCTGTGGCAGCCCCTTGATCAGGCCATGCCTGAGTCCCACATGCTTGTGTGACCATACCTGCTGCAAAGGAGTCTGGGAAGTGTGGGTTTTCATGTATCCCAATTATATAGCCCCCCTTTCCTCAGGGCAGGTGGGGAGGTTGGATCTGAGTGGGAAGCCATCAGTGTTTGGTCACCCATGACATCATAAGCTCCCTTACAGAGGGGCCTGGTCTGCCCTGCTGTCCACTCTTGCCCCTGCCAGTGGGGGATCTGGCACACAAACGCTCAGCTCGGCAGACTCCATCACGGCTGTGCCCAGGCAAGACTCCTGACCAGGTTGTGCTGTGGAGGGGGTTGAGAAGCAGGAAGCTCTGAAGCCCTAGAGCCCCTGCACCCATGCTCTGGCGAGGATGGGAAGCAGGAGTTGCTGCCTCCTTGGGCAGCTCGCTTAGGGCCCCCTGGGCACTCCAGCTGGATGAGACAGATGGTCAGGGCCACAGGTATCTGCAGGGCACAAGCCCTACCAGCCATACCTCCCGGACCTCATCTGTCGGCAGAGCCCCCGTGTTCCCAGGGCACTCAGAGAGCTTGTGCCCGCGGGCTGCTCTCTCTGAGCTGAGCCTGGAGGGCCCCGCGCTCTCCTCCGCCCAGCCCCCCAGCAGGGACACGGCCTCCACATCACACAGGGCCAGCCACTCAGCAGTCTTGGGACCCAGGCAGCAGAACCTCCAGGCATTGCCCCAAAATTCTGGGCACAGGGGAGGAAGAAGCCCCCAAGGGCTGCTGAGAGAGGATGGGGTGGGAACGGGGAAGGTGCCTGCCCACCCAGAGGGGCTCCTCCCTGTCTGGAGAGCTTGAGGACTGGGGTGCTGGCCTGGTGGGAGTGGGGTGGGCCACTGTGTCTGTGTCTCCCCAGTGCACAAACCTCAGTCTGTTCCAGGAAACAGAGGGTACTCAGGGTGGGTGACCTGAGGGGCCCTTTGCAAGTGTGCAGAGATGGACCGCGCAGATTCTCTTCCTGGTGGGGGACCGTTAAGGGCTGGGGCGGAGTGAGAGACTGGCTTGAGAGGATAGCCTTGGAGCAGGTAGGGCCCAGGTACCACTGGGGGTCCCTGAAGCAGGTGCTGGGGGCCAGAGATCAGGGGTGTCCACTAGGTCAGTACCCATGTCTGGTGGGGACACTGGGTCTGGAGGCAATGAAAGAGCACCCCCCATAAGTCCCTGAAACCCTCTGCCACCCTGCCCCAGACTGCCTCTGGTGCCCTGTTGGCATTTTAGTCGATTTCTTACCGAGCTGTGATTCACACAACATACACCTTACCACTGTAGTTAGTCTCACACAACATACACTTTACCACTGTGTTTATTCTTTTTATTTTATTTATTTTTTAAAGTAGGTTCCTTCCTTTTAAAGTAATTTAATTGGATTAGTTTTAGCAGCCCTGTGTGACATGTGGGAACTTAGTTCCCCAAGCAGGGATCAAACCTGTGGTCCCTGCAGTAGAAGTGTGGGGTCTGCACCTGTGGACTGGCAGGGAAGTCTGTTCACCATTTGACCGTGTACACGTCAGTGTTTAGTGCATTCACAATGCTTTGCAACCACCAGCTCTTCTGGTGTCAAAACCTTATCACCCCCAGGACACACCTGGGAGACCCTCTGTCTGAACCCGGTGGTCACACCTGCATCCATCCCTCTGCTCTGTGCTCCCTGCTGTGAGATTCTCCCTGCAGTGAGATGAGGGCTGTCGGCCCTGTCCAGGCACCTACATAGCATTCCCCATCCCCCCCTTTCACTGGAAGTTTCCAGGTGGAAATACAGCTGATCTTCAAGTCGATGCAAACGGGCTCGCTGGCTTCTGTTTTCCCAGACCAGGAGCCCGAGATGCAACTTTTCTATCCTGGAACTCAGGAGAGAGCAGGACACACACAGCTCCTGACTCAGAGTCTCCTTCTCCTGCTCTCACAGGCCTGTTTGCTTCCCAAGGAGTGCTCACCTGCTCTGCATTCAGCCCTCATGACCTGCACCTCCGATCCATCGGCAGCAGGCCTGACACAAAACAGCACCTGCCCCAGAGACAAAGTGGAGAGAGGAAGGTGACAGACTCCGACCCTCAGGCACAGGCTGTCTCCCTGGATCCTGGGCCTCATAGAACTTTCCCCAGTGTTCAGTCTTAAAGTGCAGGGAGCACTTTTCTATTCTACTGCGCACACACACACACACACACACACACACACACACTGCAAACACACTGGACTGACCTCACTAAAGGCAGTAACCGGCTGCCTTTAGTAACCGGCAGTAACCGGCTGCGGAAACCAGGAAGCCTTGAGACAGACCCAGCGCATACCCCGGGCAGTCAGTGGGTAGTTGGAGCTGGGCTCGAAGGACGTGGCACTCAGCAGGCCCTGCGGGTCACCGACCCCCTGCACACATCTGTGCGTCTCTACCCAAGCAGAAATGCGTGAATGTATCTGAGTCCATCTAGAATGTATCTGAGTCCATCCAGAGCTAATGCTCTAGGGTTGGATTTTCTCAGCCCCTCTTACTGTACTGGGTGGGGTGGGGGCTTCTGAGACCTGGAGCCACGACACAGCGTCACCATGCCGGCGTGGGGAGCTGTGGTTAGAGCGCAGGCGCCCGGGACCCTGGGTGAGCCACCAGCCTACCGTCACCTGGGCCACCCTCTCCCCCTCCTCGGCTCCTCAGGGAAGGGGGCTCAGGCTGCAGGAGGCTCAGCGCAGGCTCCACGCAGGACACCTCTCACCTGCTGACACTTCTCTACTGTGACTGGAGCTTCAGATGAAGAAACAAACCCCAACAGAGACAATTTGTGAAAACAGAAAACACATATTTATTTAAAGATAACACAAGCCCTCCTTGAAAGAAATTTAGTTAAAATCAAGGATTGGGAGAAAAAAAATGAACATAGAGAAAGCAGAGAACAGAGACACCACCCCACCCCAAGGGGCACCACGTCTGGTCCCAGACAGGTCTGCAGAGGAGAGACCCACATGGGCGACGGACTCTGCAAAATCAGGCCTAGAAATCCGCCAGCTCGTCGTGCCTGCCTTTGTTGGTCTGGTAGCTGATCAAGGCCACGGGCTTGCTCTCATGCGGGAGGCTTTCAAACACTCGGATGTGCACGAAGTCATCCTCGTCCACTTGAACCTGAAAGGAGAGTCCAGTGAGGGGTAGGTGGGGCCTCTGATCCCACATCCCCCTGATTCGCTGGATTTGGCTGGATGGGCAGGAAGGCCCTGGATGCCCGGAGGCTGCGTCCCTTCATGTCCCCAGAGACTGGACTTGAGGACATTGCCACCTTCCTCCTTCAGGTGCAAGGGATGCCCCCGGTGCCCAGCCAGCACCCCTCATCCACACTCACTCCAGCAGAGCCCTCAGTCACCCGAGAGGCTAGGTCCTCTCCTCCAAGGAGGCCGCAGCACACACGTGCACATACATGCACACACACGCACATGCTTGCACACACATGCTCATTTCAGACAGCCACCAAACCCCTGAAGCTGAGGGCTGCCACAGAACCCTGCTGAGCACCCCTGCCCTGGGCACCTGTGAGCTCCCACTTCAGCCAGACTCTCCCAAGGGGCTGACACCCCACCTTGATCAAGTAGTTCACTCCGGCGACCACCTGGCTCCTGAATTCCACAGCCTTGAACATTGGGAACTTCTTGTCCACCTTCTCCTCCAGCTGGGACTTCACCTGGGGAAGGAGAGAAGGGAGAGACAGGTGAGCTCACCTGTATTAGATGTTACAGCTGAACTCTAGTGCCCACATTCTACACTCTTTCTAGAGCACGTCTGTTCTTCACAGCTGAGCAGACACACTCAACTGTTGACTCTGATGAGAAAGGACAGAAAAATGTTCTTTGTATCATTTCTCTTTCCTTTTTCAAGGATGGGAATTTTACATTTTCATCATCAAGACCATGTGTGTAAGTTCACACCCTGTTTTTCTTTTTACTTAGTTCTTTTGAAAGAGTACATACCACTTTTTAGTTACTCTTTTAAAAGTGAAAATTAAAATATTTTAAAGAGTTAAACTAAATTGAGCGTTAAATATAATTTTCCATGGACTTGCTCAGTGGTCTAGTGGCTAAGACTCAATGACAACAATGCAAGGGGCCCGGGTTCTATTCCTGGTCAGTGAACTATATCCTATATGCCACAAGGAAGGTCCACATGCCGCAAGTAACTAAGTGGCACAGCCAAAATAAATAAATATTTATTAAAAATTCAGTCTTCCATCTTGTGTTGTTAATGGTCAGCTGCTAGTCACGTCTGACTCTTTGTGACCACATGGACTGTGGCACGCCAGGCTCCTCTGTCCTCTAGTCTCCCAGAGTTTACTCAAATTCCTTTCCATTGAATGGGTGATGCAATCTAACCATCTCATCTGCTGATGCCTTGTCCGCTTGCCCTCGATTTTTCCCAGTCAGGGTCTTTTCTGATGAGTCAGTTGTTCCCAGCAGGTGACCAAAGGACTGGCGCTTCAGCTTCACCATCAGTCCTTCCAGTGAATATTCAGGGTTGATTTCCTTTAGGATTGACTGGTTTGATCTTATATAGGTGTCTTAATTCTCTTGGGGAAAAAAGTGAAAGTGAAAATGTTAGTTGCTCAGTGGTGTCCAACTCTGCAACCCCATGAACAGGTAGCCTCCCTGGCTCCTCTGTTCATGAAACTCTCCAGGCAAGAATACTGGAATGGGTTGTCATTTCCTTTTCCAGGGTTCTCTTAAGAATCTCAGTTTCTTCTGCGACAGATAAAGCACTATTATAGTTTAAAAAATGGTTTTCTACTTTTAAACTTTTATTTATTTCTAGTTTTTATTTTTTAAACGTGCCATAATTCTGGGTTTTCCGTTGTTAGCTTTTACTTACCTATTGTTTTTTTTTTTGGCTGTCTTGGGTCTTTGAGGCTGCATGCCAGCTTTCTCCAGGTTCAAAGAGTGGGGGCTTCTGTTGAGAGCACAGGCTATAGGCATGCGGGCTTCAGTAGTCTCGGCTCCCTGGATCTAGAGCTCGGGCTCGGGAGCTGTGGCACTTGGGCTGACTTGCTCAGCGCTATGTGGTATCTTCCCAGACCAGGGATGGATCCCAGGTCCCCTGCATGTGGTTTCTTCTCCCCTGGGTTACCAGGGTGGACCTTTGCTGCCTTCTTAGGCGGTCTCCCTAGGATACAGGGCCTTTTGGCAGAGGCTGTTTCTGGTCTTTGGCGTCAGATGGTAATAACACCCTTGGATCAGTCAGGCTTTCTAGGGTCTTGGCCTTTGGGGAACTGGGTTTGTTATGGAGGAAGGAAGAGCAGGTTGCTTTGTCTTGACTTTGAGATCTAATCTGGTTTCCGAGTGCTCAGTAGCCACAGGAGCTCGCTGTGCTGAAGCCTCCAAACCAGTTCTGGGGGTCGGAGGAGTTTTGAACCCCAAGCACCTGCTGCTTGGGGAGCCAAGGGCATCACCATTATGCATGCCAGTGAGTCACCTGGCAAGGGCCTGCAGGGAACGGCACTCTGGTGATTAGGTGGGAGAAAGGACAGGAGCAGGGAGGGTCAGGTAGTGAAAAGGTGGGCCACCTGCTCTTCCAGGAGGCTGCCACGGCTCTCAGGGTGGTCAGTGTGGGTGTGTCCCTCTGGGCCAGGGCCCAGCCGTGTCTCAACACTCACCCGTGCAGCCCTTCTTCACGGAGCTGTAGGGAACTGAGCCTCTGACCGTTTACCCAACCCGGGGGTGAGTGACACCCACAGACCCTCCTGGGGGCCTGGGATGGAATCATCCTGTCTGTCTCTCAGGAGTGGAAGCAGGAGAGCCCTGCTCTGTGCAAGGCTGGCTGGATCTGCTGGGTACAGGTTCATCTCTGGCCTCAATTCTCCTTATCTGTTTACCAAAGCTTCAGTACAAAAGGCCACAAGACGGTGCCCGTGCCCCTCACAGAGCCCTCCCAGCACACAGGTGGCCACCTGGCTCCCAGGGGCAGTGAGGACGGTGCCCTGACATGTGACTCCCACGGGATGGACCCCAAGTGCAGCCCCTGGAGACAGAAACCCTTGTCTCCTGAGGGGGCTCACCCTCACGCAAGGCTCACATGGCCAGCGGGGATTCTCAGGCCTGGAGAGCCAGGAAGAGGCGGGGAGGGCTGGGCTGAGTGGCCGTGGAGGGGGAGAACAGGGAACACCCCTCTGCCTGGCTCTCACTGGCTGTCCCCCAGATCCCTCAGTGTCTAAGGTCTCCCAAGACTCAGCCCTTCCATGACTGATATCAGATGTCCCCAGTGGTAGGATCGAGGACCTGGCAGAGCGCATGCCCTGCAATGTAGGAGGCAGCAGTGGAGCAGGGAGCAGAGCTGAGGTGGGCCGGAAAGATAAGGGACCCAGATGTCTGTCACAAGTTTCCTCTTCTCATCAGAACTCGGATACCCCACCCCAGGTCCTGAACTTCTCTCCCTTAGGAGGACAGGGGGACAGACCCTAACCCCACTCTTGACCCTCGGGTGCAACAGTTTTCCTGGAAAAGGGGCTCGATGGCTGGCCAGGGTCTGATCCAGACTCTGCCTACTTGACCCAGCAACTTTCAGTTTCTAAACGTGTCACTGGAGAGCATTTCAGACCTACACGAGAGGGCTAAACTAACAGCCTGAGTCTAGGAGGCCTGGGACCCTGACTCACTCATGATGACCTCACGCCTGCTGTGTCGTTTCTTCTCCATGTGCTTTTCCCCAAATGTCACCTTGCCTCCCCCTCCAACTCCTCTGCCCCCTCTCTCTTCTCAAGAGAGAATGGGATGTGCTAGGGTGCAGTGCCTCTGTCCCAGAGGTGATGACTGCTGACCACCGTGGTCCCAGGACCCCATCTGCCTGCAGCAGCCCTACCTGATCAGCGATGGCCTGGGTCTTGGCTGTGGCAGGCTGAGTCTCTGAGAACCCACCAAGCTTTGGCCCCAACATCTTGGCAGTCGGCAGGCTGGGCGGATGACCTGTAGGAGCTGCTGACACTCTCAGGACTGGCGAGCTAATGGAAAACTCCCAGACTTGGAGGGACGGTCCTGTGATCCATGGGCGGAGCCAGGAGAGGTGCCTGGGTTGATGGACAGGGAACAGGGAGGGGAAGTCCTGGTCCCATTCAGGAACATGCTCTGACATGGGGTGGTGGGGGTGGGGATGTCAGCCTCTTCCTGTGGGTGGCAGAGTCAGAAGCAGGGGTGGGAGCTCCCTGCAGGATGGGGGTGGGAGTGGGGGGTAGCACCGACAGAATCTCCAGATAGACAGGGGTCCATTCAGATGGGAGGATAAGGGGTCACCAACCCTTGGGGTTTCAAAGAGTTCTGGAGACATGGGAGCAACAGGACCTGAGAGATGCCAAGGGTGGAGAGAAGTGAAGCCCCGACCAGCTCAGAACCTGGAGGAGAGGGGCAGGGGCCGCCTGGGCCTCAGTGGGACCTGCCTGTGCCCGCCTGGAGCCCCTCATGCCCCAGCCAGGCCGAGAGCCCTCCCCGTTCTGGCCTGGCCTGTGGGCCGCTATGCACATCATGGACGTGTGACCGGTGACACAGGGAGGGCTGACGTGGGTGGGCGAAGAGCCACAGAGGGGTCCGGGGGCAGGAGGCGATGACTCCAGGGCCTCAGACGGCATGGGGGTCACATGCATGGTGTTACTTACTAGGACTTGGTTCTGATGGGTGTGGGATAGGATTTAGAGTTGGTTCAACTATAACCCAGCCTGGGCGGGGACACCCTTCTAAGGTCCAAGCCTGGACTCTTGGGTAACACTGGGAAACCAATTATCTGAACAGACACATGGAGTGAGAAACAAGGACGAGGCCTTGGTGGGGAAGGGGTGCCTGGGAGGCGGGCGGCAGAGTCAGGGGAACCCAGGAGAAGTGCTCGGCCCTGTGGTCAGCCCAGTCCCTGCTTGGATATTGGGGGTGTTAGCTTTCTAGGTCGTCTTCGGTCAGTCATATTTCTCGTGCCCAGGTGTGGTCTGAGGCCCTTCCTGGTGGTGCACACGTCTCTCAGGCAAGATGGTTTCCAGCAGGAGTGTTTCTGGGAGGTGTGTTGGCAGGACATAGCACAGCCTGGCCTCACCCGCCTCCTTCTGGACCCCCAGAAGTCTCCAGTTAGATTTTGGCGGCAGCTTCTCAGTAACGCACACCTTACAGGGAATTCCTATTTTGAGACAACTCAGGCAAGTGCTTATTATTGTGTTTTTCTGGGTGGGGGGGGAAGGGTGGAGGTTCCAGGCAATGGTTCCCTAAAATTCCTGTTCCCCCCTCCCGCCTGGAGATACATCCGACTCGAGATAATTCTTGCGTAATCAGAGTGGAAATCAGATTGATTATCTTCTTTGCAGCCAAAGATGGAGAAGTCCCATAGAGTCAACAGAAACAATTCTGGGAGGTGACTGTGACTCACATCACAAACTGCTTGTTGCAAAATTCAGACTTAAATTGAAAACAGGAGGGACAACCACTAGACCATTCTGGTACGACCGAAATCAAATCCCTTATGATTATACAATAGAAGTGACAAACAGATTCAAGGGATGAGATCTGATAGACAAAACTCCTGAAGAACTATGGATGAGGTTTGTAACACTGTACAGGATGCTGTGATCAACACCATCCCCAAGAAAAAGAAATGCAAAAAGGCAAATGGTTGTGTGAAGAGGCCTTACAAATAGCTGAGAAAAAAAGAGAAGTGAACGACAAAGGAGAAAAGAAAGATATATCCATCTGAATGCAGAGTTCCAAAGAATAGCAGGGACAGATAAGAAACTGTTCCTAAGTGATCAGTGCAAAGAAATAGAGGAAAATAATAGAATGAGGAAGACTAGAGATCTCCTCAAGAAAATCAGAGATACCAAGGGAACATTTCATGCAAAGATGGGCCCAATAAAGGACAAAAATGGTATGGACGACACAGAAACAGAAGATATTAAGAAGAGGTAGCAAGAATATCCCAGAAGAACTAGACAAAAAAGATCCTAATGACCCAGATAACTACAATGATGTGATCACCTAGAGCCACACATCCTAGAGTGTGAAGCCAAGAGGGCCTAAGGAAGCATCACTACAAAGAAAGCTAGTGGAGGTGATGGAATTCCAATTGATCTATTTCAAATCCTAAAAGATGATGCTGTAAAAGTGCTGCACTCAATATGCCAGCAAATTTGGAAAACTCAGCAGTGGCCACAGGATTGGAAAAAGTCAGGTTTCATTCCAATCTCAAAGAAAGGCAATGCCAAAGTCTGATCAAGCTACTGCAGAGTTGCACTCATCTCACATGTTAGCAAAGGAATGCTCAACATTCTCCAAGCTAGGCTTCAACAATACATGAACCGAGAACTTCCAGATGTTCATGCTGGATTTAGAAAAGGCAGAAGGACTAGAGATCAAATTATCAATATCCATTGGATTATAGAAAAAGCAAGAGAATTCCAGAAAAATATCTACTTCCGCTTCTTTGACTACACTAAAGTCTTTGTGTGGATCAGAACAAACTGTGGAAAATTCCTCAAGAGATGGGAATACCAGACCCCCTTACCTGCCTCCTGAGAAATCTGAATGCAGGTCAAGAAGCAAGAGTTCAAACCATGGAACAATGGACTGGTTCCAAATTGGGAAAGGAGAACGTCAAGGCTGTATATTGTCACCCTGCTGATTTAACTTCTATGCATAGTACATCATGCGAAATGCTGGGCTGGATGAAGCACAAGCTGGAATCAAGTTTGCTGGGGAAAATATCAGTAACTTCAGATATAATAATGGCACCACCCTTATGGCAGAAAGCGAAGAGGAACTGAAGAGCCTCTTGATGAAAATCAAAGAGGAGAGTGAAAAAGCTGCCTTAAAAGTCAGCATTCAGAAAGCAAAGATCATGGCATCCAGTTCCATCACTTCATGGCAAATAGATGGGGAAACAATGGAAACAGTGAGAGACTTTCTTTCCTTGGGCTCCAAGATCACTGCAGATGGTGACTGCAGCGGTGAAATTAAAAGACGCTTGCCTCTTGGAGGAAAAGCCATGACCAACCAGACAGCATATTAAAGAGCATAGACATTACTTTGCCAACAAAGGTCCGTCTAGTCAAAGCTATGGTTTTTCTAGTAGTCATATATGGATGTGAAAGTTGGACCGTAAAGAAAGAAGAGCGCCAAAGAATTGATGCTTTTGAACTGTGGTGTTGGAGAAGTCTCTTGAGAGTCCCTTGGACTGCAAGATCAAACCAATCAATCCTAAAGGATATCAGTTCTGAATATACATTGGAAAGACTGATGCTGAAGCTGATACTCCAATCCTTTGACCACCTGATGTGAAGTACTGACTCATTGGAAAAGACCCTGATACTGGGAAAGATGGACAGCAGGAGGAGAAGGGGATGACAGAGGATGAGATGGTTGGATGGCATCACTGACTCGATGGGCATGAGTTTGAGCAAACTCCGGGAGTCGGTGATGGACAGTGAAGCCTTGTGTCCTACAGTCCAAGGGGTTGGAAGGAATTAGACAAGACTGAGAGACTGAACTGAACTGAACCAAACTGAATCACATGGAATCTCTTTCTTATGAATCTTCTTCATGTTGACACACTGCGCTGTATATTCAGAGATGATGTTGACTTGGGTCTGTAGCACCCTTTGCTGACAATTGAGTGGCCTGCTCACAAGTCCAGGCACAACAAGGTACACTTACTTTGATGCCCACAGAAATATACTTTGCGATGGGTAAGAGTGTTAGTTCCATTCTCTTGAGGCCAGCTCTTGGAACTGTGCTAACCTTGAGCTCAATACTGCCCAAGCTGGAACATCTGATGTCATGGCTACAGCCTGGCCTCACACTATTAGCTTTTTTTCCCTTCTGGGAGTAGTTATGGTATCTGGGAACAACTCAGGAATATGCACCAGGCACTGAGTCTGTGGCTCCAACTGAACACTGACTGCTCAGTTAGTTGCCACTGGAGGAGAGAATGACAAAGCACCCCAGTAAATCTGCCACGAGAACCTCATGAGCGATGCAAAAAGATGAACAGGTATGAGACTGAAAGACGAGTCCCCAAGGTCTCATTGCATTCTCTTGGCAGCATTTAGTTAGACTTTGCCGTGCCTCATGTTGTTCCCCAAGGCCAAAGTTACCTGTTACCTCAGGTATCTCTTGACTTTCACTTTTGCATTCCAATCCCCAAAGATGAATCGAACAGCTGTCTTATGTGTTAGTTCTAGGAGGTCTTCTAGGTCTTCATAGAACTGATCAAGGTGTCCCATCAGCTACGGGGGAAGAGCAGAGGAGGAGTATCAATAGTCCCAGAAAGAATGAAGTAGCTGGACCACAGCAGAAATGACACTCAGTTGCAGATTATCTGCTCATGAAAGTAAAATTGGGTTCTGCGTAGAACAGTATTGCATAGGAACTGGGAATGTTAGTGCCACGAGTCAAGGTACATTGGACATGTTCAAGCAGGAGATGGGAAGAATAAACATCAACATCTTAGCAATTGGTCAGCTAAATTGGGTTGCAATGGGTGAATTTATTTCTGATGACCATTATTTCTTCTACTGTGGGCAAGAATCCCATAGAAAAGAAACAGAGTAGCCCTCATAGTCAACAAAAGAGTCTGAAATGCAGTACTTGAGTGCAGCCTCAACATTGACAGAATCATCTCAGTTCATTTCCAAGGCAAACCAAGTAATCCAAGTCTATGCCCCTGCCACCAATGCCAAAGAAGCTGAAGTTGATGGGTTCTGTGAAGACTTAGAAGACCTCCTAGAACTAACACTTAAAACAGATGCTTTATTCATCTTTAGGGACTGGAATGCAAAAGTGGAAAGTCAAGAGATACCAGGAGTAACAGGCAAGTTTGACCTTGGAGAACAAAATGAGGCAGGGCAAAGGCTAACTGAATTCTGCCACGAGAAGGTATTTGATCATAGCAAATACCCTTTTTCAACAGCA